AGCTAAATGTGCACTTTTACTATCCAAATACCATGTCCAAAAATATTTGTCAGATGAGATAGTTTTTCAGTTTAACAAAATCTAAAGCTTATTTTTGACTATTTTTCCCTCATGGAAACCAGGACTTTGACTATGTGTGGTAAGTGAATATGTCAGCTCCAATATCTGAACAAAATATTTCTTCAAGTTTTGCCCACTGGCATCTCATTTGATTTCAATAAATCCGTGAAGTTCAGTAAAATTTCTTCAGGTGCCAAAGCCTTATGATGAATAAACCAAGGCTGTTAGTAGTTTTTTAAACAATATTTATTAATTCTGCCAGATTTTCTGGTTGTATTTGTTGTCCACACTCATAATTCCTTTACATTTTTTTCAGTTTAAATAATATTCAATGTATGGCAATTCCTCAAAGAGCTAAAAACAGAATGACCATTGGACCCAGCAGTCCCATTACTGGCTATATACCCAAAGGAATGCAAATCATTCTACCGTAAAGACACATGCACACGAATGTTCATTGCAGCACTCTTCACAATAGCAAACACATGGAATCAACTTAAATGTGCGTCCATGACAGATTAGATAAAGAAAATGTGGGACATATACACCATGGAAGACTATGCAGCTATAAAATAAAATGAGATCATGCCTTTTGCCGGAACATAGATGGAGCTGGAGGCCATTATTCTTAGCAAATTAACACAGGAACAGAAAGCCAAATACCACATATTCTCACTTATAATGGGGAGCTAAATGATGAGAGCTTATGAACACAAAGAAGGAAACAACAGACACTGGGGTCTACTTGAGGGGAGAGGAGAGGGTGGGAGGTGGCAGAGGAGCAGAAAATATAACTATTGGGCACTGGGCTTCATACCTGGATGATGAGATATTATGTACAACAAACCCCATGACACATGTTTACCTATGTAACAAACCTTCACATGTACCCACAAACCTATTATAAAAGTTAAAAATTTAAAAAAAAAAAAGTTCAATAAACAATATACTTTTCCAACTAGGAGATTATATCTAATCCAGTTAAGGGTAAAATAAAATTTAAGGCTGGGTACGGTGGCTCACGCCTGTAACCCCAGCACTTTCGGAGGCCGAGGCGGGCAGATCACCTGAGGTCAGGAGTTCGAGACCAGCCTGGCCAACATGGTGAAACCTCGTCTCTACTAAAAATACAAAAAAAAAAAATTAGCCAGGCATGGTGGTACACACCTGCAATCCCAGCTACTTGGGAGGCTGAGGCACAAGAATCGCTTGAACCCGGGAGGCGGAGGTTGCAGTGAGCCGAGATTGCACCACTGCACTCCAGCCTGGGCAACAAGGGTGAAACTCCATCTCAAAATAAAATAAAATAAAATAAAATAAAATAAAATAAAATTTAAACAATACAATGAATTCTTCATAAAAATTGTCAGTCATATCTGATCTGACTAAAAGTGTTGGCAACTTGCAATATCAGTGCTTTCATTAAGTTGAATCACAAAATCTGTACCAGACTGTCATTGCATTCAAAAACATTGCATCTTATTGTTCTGTAATAGTATAGATTGGATGAGATATTATAGGATACTAAAAGGTATAATTTTTAATTTTTCAGCTGATTTATCATTTTATCGTAAAAAATCCTACGTACCATCTCATCCGTCCTGGAAGAGTAATTTTTGACAGCTGTATGGCCCATTTTCTTTTTCACCCCGAATACACTACTAAATAGGTGACTATATGGCTCTTTCATTAATAGTACTTGACAACTTATACATTTTTAACAATTATATGTATTTTTCCTTTGGAAACATTTCTTTGACTTATTGACAAGATATTATGTTGCATTTCCAGGTATTTTTTTTCTTTCGAAGGTCCTAAGCTTTCAATTATAATTTTTTTTTTATAAATAGTATGTTAAGTCTGTCATTTTTGTTAAGCCTTGCATATTTTATAAAATCGCATTTAAATAATCTTCACTATCAGGTTTTCTGTGTCCTTTTTCCTTTTTAGAATGCAACTCAAATAAAATAAAAAATAGTGTTCTCTTTTGGGTTTTGGCAGAGGCAGTTTGAGACAGGGTCTCACTCTGTCACCCAGGCTGGAGTGCAGTGGCACCATCTCGGCTCACTGCAGCTTCAACCTCTTGTGCTCCACTGATCCTCCCACCTCAGCCTCCTGAGTAGCTAGGACTACAGGTGTGCACCACCATGCCTGACTAATATTTGTATTTTTTGTAGAGATGGGTTTTGCAATGTTGCCCAGTCTGGTCTTGAACTCCTGGGCTCAAGCAATCTGCCAGCCTCAGCTTCCCAAAGTGCTGGGATTACAGGAGCGAGCCACCACACCTGGCCCAAAAACTGTTATTAGAGTCAACATTTTTCTCAGTATTGTCAGATTTATACCTCCAGATGCACAACAAATTCTTCATAAAAATTGTCTTGTCAGTCACATCTGGTCTGACTAAAAGTGTTGGCAATTTGCAGCATCAGTGTTGTGATTTAATTAAATCACAGAATCTGTATCAGACTGTAATTACATAAAAAACATTGCCTCTTATTATTCTGTAATAGTGAAGGTGTCAATAAGCTGAACTTGAATGTACCTCTATATTTTTATATCATCTGCTTTCTTCTTTAAAGCAGCTCTGTATAAGAGAATGTATACTAGTTCAACTAAAGTGTTATAATAGCTACAAACTGAAAAAAAAAAAAAGTAGAATAACTTCCATTCCAAAAGATATCCTGACATTCTTAAGTGATACTCAGTTGAGAGTCTTAACAATTTGCTGATCAATTGCTATGGCACTTCACAACTAATTCAACATTATATCAATATAAAATTAAACTGTACAATGTTCACGTCCTAATATAAAATTGATCAAACTAGGCATCAAATAACAGAAAACCAAATAAGATGCCCAGGGTCAGCTATATAGTTTCTGGAGCCAAATGCAAAACAAAAATATGCGGCCCAGGCTGGGTCCAGACAAAAGTTGGCAATTCTGCAGCATCAGTGTTGTGATTTAATTAAACCACAGAATCTGTATCAGACCTGTAATTACATAAAAACATTGCCTCTTATTAGTCTGAATAGTGAAGGTGGTCAATAAGCTGAACTTGAATGTACCTCTTATATTTTTATATCATCTGCTTTCTTCTTTTAAAGCAGCTCTGTATACAGAGAATGTATACTAGTTCAACTAAAGTGTTAGAATAGCTACAAACTGAAAAAAAAAAAAGTTAAATAACTTCCATTCCAAAAAGATATCCTGACATTTCTTAAGTGATACTCAGTTGAGAGTCTTACAATTTGCTGATCAATTGCTATGGCACTTCACAACTAATTCAACATTATATCAATATAAAATTAAACTGTACAATTCACGTCCTAATATAAAATTGATCAAACTAGGCATCAAATAACAGAAAACCAAATAAGATGCCCAGGGTCAGCTATATACGTTCTGGGAGCCAAATGCAAAACAAAAATATGCGGCCCAGGCTGGGTCCACGGTTCACACCTGTTATCCCAGCACTTGGGGAGGCCAAGTGGGTGGGAGTACTTGAGGTCAGGAGTTCAAGACCAGCCTAGCCAACATGGCGAAACACCACTCTACTAAAAATAGCAAAAATTAGCTGGTGTGTGGCTCATGCCCGTAATCCCAGCTACTCAGGAGACTGAGGTAGAGAATCACTTGAACTCAGGAGACAGGAGGTTTGCAGTGAGCTTGAGATCTTGCCACTGCATTCCAAGGCCTGGGGAACACAGAACTAGACTCGCCATCCTCAAGAAAGAAAAGGAAAGGAAGAAAAAAGAAGAGAAAGGAAGAAGAGGAGAAAGGAAGGAAAAGGAAGGAAGGAAGGAAGGAAGGAACGAAAGAAGAAGGCAGAGGAAGAAGGAAGGAAGAAGAAAGGAAGGAAGGAAGGAAAAGGGAAGGAAGGAGGAAGGGAGGAAGGAAGGAGAAAGAAAAATGAAAGCAGAAGAAAGAAGAAAAGAAAGAAAGAAAAAGAAAGAAAGAAGAGGGAAGGAGAAAGAAAGAGAAAAAAAGAAAAGAAGAGAGAGAAAAGAGAAAGAAGAAAAGAAACAGAGGAAGAAGAAAGAGAAAGAAAAAAAGTGCCGAGCCGCCTGCTTGAAATGAACAAGTCAATTCCCCCTTTCTAAGGGCCACCGTCCCAACCCATGGCAGACAGGGTGCAGCCAGGTGAGGGGCGCAGTAGTCACAGAGCAGACCACAGAAATGGGGAGCTAGCCGAGCAGCCAGGACACACATGGTGCATAGAGTGGTGGCCAGAAACCTGTCTCAGGGAAGGAGGAGGCCATGGAAGCAGGGTGGGTTGTGAGTCAAGACTCAAGCCTCAGGTGCATGCTTCTGTGTCCTGCCCCACTTCACTTACCAACACAAAATTCAAAGATGCAAGTATTGGGGAGGCCGAGATGGGCGGATCACAAGGTCAGAGAGATCAAGACCATCCTGGCCTAACATGGTGAAACCCGGTCTCTACTAAAAATACAAAAAAAAAATTAGCTGGGCGAGTCGTGCGGCGCCTGTATCCCAGGCTACGCGGGAGCCGAGGCAGGAGAATGACGTAACCGGGAGGCGAAGCTTCGCGTGAGCTGAGACCGGCCACTGCACTCCGCCTGGGCGACAGAGCGAGACTCACATGTCTGAAA